ATATTTTAATTTGCTGTGACTATGCTTGCTTGAGGCGAGGTCTCTTGGAAACAATTTTTCTATGGAACAGTTTTGCTTGAGGCGAGGTCTGCATACACACTACCCTCCTCAGATTCCACATGTGTCAATACACTGGGCAATGTTGTTATTGTTGTTTTTTCCAAACATAACATATGGGATTTGACTTTTACCAATTTTTTCGTTTCTTATTTTTTCTAAACTTAACTTTGTGCTTCCAATATATTTTTACAAACTTCTTTTTCTGGGTTCGCACTTAACACAAGATATAGCTTGAATAGAAGCCCCTTGACGAACGATAGGGAAAAACAAATGGAACGGATAATGGTAAACAATTACCAGCTGATGAATTCATGTAATTTATCATTAAAATACTCACACACACTAATGTCATCAGTTAAATTCTTACACCACGGGAGATTAGAATATCTTTTTTTTTTTACTTTCGAGCATTCGTAAATATATCTGTTATTAAATATTAAAAATTGTGCTTTCAAAGATTACATAAAATGGTAAAAATAGCTCGGGCTAGCTAGTTTTCGGACTGGTCATTGAAAAATAGCCAACGTTTGCAAAGTCATTGAAAAATAACCACTATTTTGTTGTATCACGGAAAGTTCCAGCATAATATACTGAAGATCGTCGGTGCACCTATGTATGAACTTCCAGCATATTATGCTGGAACTCCAACACGCAGAAAGTTCCAGCATAATATACTGGAGATTGGAGCACCTGTGTATGAACTTCCAGCATATTATGCTGGAACTCCAACACGCAGAAAGTTCCAGCATAATATACTGGAGATTGGAGCACCTGTGTATGAACTTCCAGCATATTATGCTGGAACTCCAACACGCAGAAAGTTCCAGCATAATATACTGGAGATTGGAGCACCTGTGTATGAACTTCCAGCATATTATGCTGGATCGCTATATTATACTGGAACTCTCCAGTATAATATACTGGAGTACGGTATACTTATGCTGGAACTCCAGTATAATATACTGGAGTACGGTATACTTATGCTGGAACTCCAGTATATTATACTGGAGTTCCATTCTATTATACTGGAATTTCAGTATATTATGTTGGAGTATTTTTCGGATTTTGAAACAGTGTTTTCATTCAGATTTATATTTACATGAAAAGTGGCAAAATTTCGATTACTTTTGAAACTGTAACTATTTTTAAATGACCACTTGTAAATTTGACTATTTTTGAATTTCTCCCATAAAATGACCAAGGACTTCGATTATATTTTTTGAAAAGAGGAACTATTTTTTAAATAAAATTAATGAAAAGGAAAATAGAGAGCACCTTAGATCTTGCACATGAATACAACTAATTGTCATTTCTTTAATAGGTCATACTATTATTGAGTCGTGAGAAAGAGTCAATGATCATCACCAAATTCTCAAACTCCAAGTTATTTATGCCTCGTGCCAGCCAAAAAAAATGTGAAGATACGAGCAATTCAAGATACAAGCTCTCAAAAAGTCAATGAGCTTTATGTAGTAAAATATTTACAATTTGGACTTGAGTGGTACTAGGTCAAAATTATTATATATCCTCAACATATTTAAATAATAATAGTTGGAGAATTTCACGTTCAAATAAAAATCGGCGTGACTACATCGTGTTGTTTTTCTTTATTTTAGATTTCAATGTCTATCTATGTTTATAACAATTTTTCGTGGATTAAATTAAACAGTTGACTACCAAGCTATATTAATGTTTAAGCATAATTTCTTTCCTAGATTGGGTTCCCATTATATTTGCGTAGTCATTCCTTTAATTTTATTAAAATTATTCCAGGGGCCTTTCTCCTGGTTACCTCTCGTAATATTCACATTTCTTATGGTTTAAGTTATTAAACTCATCTACCTTATTTTGATTTTCTTGTGAATGATAATAGATTAAATGATAAATGTTTATAATATTCCAAAACAGTTTTTAGTTTTTTCTGTGGCATTGATTAAATGTTCTAGTTTTAGAATTTATCTTTTCTTTTTCATTGTATTTATATATATATAGATTAAAATCTTACGTGATGCGCCCTTTTAAGTTGTCCTCAACTATCAACTGAATACCCCAACCGAGCTATTTTTCATTTTAACACTTTAAGTGGCTATTAAGTAGGTCAAGTAAATACCCGAGTACAACAGATCATATGCGTGAGTTGCATTCGCCAATGACATGTCAAATGGACCAATAAAGAAAATGACATATGTAATTTTGCCATAAAAATTTAACACGTGTAATTAAAAAAAAAATACATTTAAAGAAACCTTCTTTACCGTCTCCTGTCTCATTTTGACATAGCAGCTACCTGCTCCTCTCTCCCTCCGTTTCTGCCGCTGCATCGCCACCAATCACCACCTCCGGAGGTGATGACCGGATAGGCGGCGACCTTCCTTTCAACCACATCCACCCTTTACCCCCCCCCCCCCCCTTTCCCCCCCCCCCCCCCTGTCACTGTTCTGTCGCGACAGAACCCTCACCGGTAGGCCTTCAAACACTGGTGAGATCTACAAAGTTGGTGACCCCATTAAAACCGGTCAATTTTAGGTAGAGACTTTAGATATATCCAGATCTGGCTGAAGATATGCTTTTGCGTCATGTTCGTGGACTGTTTTTCACGAGTTTGGACGGATCTACGTTTTTCAGCGACCCCCTTGCTTATGTCCTTTTTACTGCTCTATATATTCCTTTGTGTTGATAATTAAAAATCAATTCCCACGAATTGATAATACACTGAAACTAACAAATTGATAATTGATATTTAAAAAACTGAATCTTGAACAAGAAATCCAGCATAAATTCTCTTCTTTTGTAATTCTTTTCAACTAGCTAGTATAAGTTAAATTATGTACTGAAGTGAAGGTACGGTGGAAAGGAATGAAACAAAAGGAAATTAAGCACGAGAAAATGGAGGTAGAGGTGATTTAGGATAGAGGAGGGTGTCGAATGGTGGAGGAGAAAATTGGAGGAGCAGGAGAGGAGGTATGAAAATTGGGTTGGGTCCACATTATTTTAGAAAAATAAAAGAAAAAACCTAATTTTAGGTAGGCAACTCGCGTTCAGAGAGTGCATTTCACGCTATGGAGGCAGACATGGTGGAGTGTTTAGTTGAACTTCTTTTGTGAATAAATAAAGTGTATAGCTGAAAATGGCCTTTGTTGAGGTGTTCAGTTGATCGTTGAGGACAATTTAAAGAGGCGCTTTATGTATTTTGCCATTTAAATATATTGGTTGATAATATAGAAATTTTATTACTTAAATGAGTATCATCCGCTACCAAAAATAAAAAAGAAGAATTAACCCAAACACCCGCCCTTACAACTGTTTAAACTGTTTAAACTAAAAATAGTCAGTAAAAATATAATATATATATAAATTATGTATTATATGTATATAATTATGTATAATCAATAAAAAAATAAAGGGACGAAATGCGTAGTCCCTTATAGTCCATCACTGTACAAGTCCATGGGCCAAGCATAAAGCAAGTAGATCCATTCATTTTTGGGCCTTGTAGTCGGAGATGTCTGGGCTCGATAGTGGATAGTTGGTAAAAATTGCAAGGGACGTCCTATTTGGTCGTCCACATTTAACTTATACCTATTTATTTTTTAAACTTTTAATTTGTACTCACTTTTTAAACAACTTCAGTCCCCTTTCTCCTCCTCCTTCTCCTCCTCAAAGTTATATCCGCCCTCAACCTCTTTCTGAAGTCCGTAACAGTGTCTCCAAGCTCCGTGATATCACTAAAGGTGTTTGTGTATGAAAATCCAACACCAACAGGGGATTCCAAGAACAATAAGTTTGCAGCTGGAAATATTAATATTAATATACATAATTATTAATACTATGAAGAGATTTTGATTTCTAATTCTTTGATGAAGGTCTGCAGGATAAATTCAAATGTCTAAAAAGAAAAGGAAATATGAGCTAACAAAAATATTTTTCGATCTAATTTCAAGCTGGGTCGTTATTTAAAATGATCAATCATTTCAAGACAAAAACTTTAGAAGTCTCTACATTAACACAGAAAAATTACTTCTAATGTTGATTAATTAGAGCAGATATTTGGTTACATAAGGAAGATTATTTTCTTCACAATATCATTATGAAGGATAGAAGACTCTAGAGCTGAAGTTTGCCAGTTACAAACAAAAACTTCAGCTCTAGTTAAGTTCGTCAGTTACAAAACAAAAACTTCAGCTCTAGAGCTGAAGTTCGCCAGTTACAAAAACAAAAACTTCAGCTCTAGATCTGAAGTTCGCCAGTTACAAAAACAAAAACTTGCTACTTCAGTCCCGTCTATAGAATGCTGAAGTTTTGCGTGATTGTCTTTGCTACTTCAGTCCTATATGCTGAAGTTACGCGAAAAAGTGGGTACGCTTCCATTTTTTTTTTTTGCAAATGGGGCACAAGTTAAAACGTGACTAAAAAAGCGGGTATAGATGCAAATGCCCCAGATAGTTGTGTCACAATCCTTTTCCATTCCATTTATTGTCCGATGTGACAACGCCTATTTTGGAAAATCACATAGTATAACCGCTTCCAAAAATAATACTATATAATATAATTATTTTTTGTACATTTGACTAGCAAATATAAATTATTTTTGATTGACGGGCCAAATGTACAACTTAGACCTCTTTTTTATTTTATGGTTTCTTCTTCGAAGCGTTCACGACTCAAATTGTGTTTAACATTTCGAAAGCTGCTCAATCAGAAGTTTTGACAAAAGTGATGCTCATACACTTCTTATCCAAACATGACTCAAATTTATTACATTCTTGAATCTGATTATTTATTAATCTTCCTATACGTGCAATATTTTTTTTTTCCAACTATACGTGCAGTATATCACATTGGCCTTTTTGCCGCAATGATCTTGAAATCCACTAATTTCCTAGTGCCGTGGATTCCAAAAAGTGATATTGAAAAATCAAGGAACGAAGGATACTTTCAACTACCAAACAGATGAGTTGATAAATAGAGGAAGAAATGACTTAATTTGAAAAATATCAACTGAAATTTCTTTGTATGCTCATGTAGCTATGCGAAGAATTCTGAAGAGACCAATAGGAGTCCAAGATTGGCTACTTAGAAGAGTTATATACACAAGTTATGGTCTTTATATTTGAATTGTAGGACCCTCATATGTTCCCCCTAACACCACGAACTGCTCGTTTTTTTCTTTAAGCCATGCATATCTTGTGCCATCTTCTTCCACCTTCACTTCTTTAACATCTGCAATTCCATTCACAAATTAAATTAAGTAGTCGACAAGCAAACTATTGTAGCTTAAGTACAGACACAGGTACCTTCTGTCATACCAGAAAAACAGTCATAAGTGAAATCTTGATAGTATGTACAATGACGGCCTTCAGATTCCGAGTATGGTGGCCCTAAAACATCTAGTAGAATACATGGTGTTAGAGCTTTGAAGCAGTGCAAATTTCCTCCTGATTCCGGGAATAGAACTGATGCATCGCACGGTGCAGTGATGTCTGCATCAAAATGAACCTTTGCTAGCCGGATTCCAGATTGCTGCTCGCCTGTACCCAATTTTTCAATGCATGTTCGATGAGTTTAACACTATTCATGTTGGGTGTGTGAACAAAGTCTCACATTGATAGCTGAAAATATTAGGAGCCTACATATAAGATGTATGAATCTCTTAATGCATGGTACGTGGGTATGAGGCCTTTTGGGGAAAACCGTGCAGGCTTGGCAAAAAATGAATAATATCACACCATGTTAAGAGTATCAGGCCGATTTAGCCCAACAATACAGTATTTACAATGTAAATCAATTTTACAATATCAGGTCATAAAAATATTTCCAGGCAATTGCCGATAGTAAGTTAAATTGATAATCTAGATAATATTGAGAGAGGTAGCTTGCTATACATAAGTAAAACTGTAATAGAGATAGTGAAAATATTATTTGCACCATTAACATTTATAAGTTAAATTGGTGCTCAATAAGTATATATCAATTACGTACGCACTAATTAAAATTAAATGATTTCTTACAACGGTTAAACTGTTGGTGATTCTGCACCCAATCATATGACGTGGCATTCATGGTTCCAGCTAGAAGCTTGCAGAACACGGTCATGCCGGGATGATTATGAAGAGGAATTACCCCACAAGGTGGCAAACAGAAGATCCCTATCTACACATGAGTTAAAATCATGAATTAAAACTAATTAAATTTCCATTGTACCAACAGACTTTTTTCGTTAGTTTAATTTAAAAGATAAAAAGGGACTA